GCAGAGGCATGTTCTGTTAGCATCGACACGCCCTGTCCCGTCTCTCGCTACCTTGGGCATCCTATCGCTCGCCCGGCTTCACCCACTTTTCCTGCAGCATCTCGACGGCAGCTTTGTGTTTGACCTGGAGAGTCTTTGCCAGCCACTTTTGGTCTTGGATCCCCTCCAGCTGACATCCATTCCCGCCTCGCCATTGTTTGCTGCTACTCTCTCTCCACGCCCACCTATCCGGAGAGAGAAGGCCAGCCCCGCTGTTCCTCTCTGCATCAGCACACCGCGACCATCTGCTTGACCTCTTGGCTCGGCGAAGGGCGTTTCGACCGCCAATCCAACTCTCCATAATTATCCGACAGTGAATACCTTAGTTGTAATCCGACTTCTGCTCTAGCATCATCTAGGCTTCACCAGTATTCGAGCTTTCTCTACATCCGCTCTTCCCAGCTTCTATTCCACGGTCCGCAACCATGGCGTACCACGGTCGGGGCGACGGCTATGATGGCCACCAGTTACAAGATCTGCCCGGTGGGCACAACCAGGTAAGTTATCCTAGTTCCTTGTCAGGCAGCGAAAACTCAAAACAGCCATTTTAACACGAACGTCGTGATCCAGGGCGACCAGCACGACGATGCGCAAGCTCCCTTCCTCTCCGAAAACCCTATGCCTTACGACAATGACCGCTTGGGCGCCGATACGCCTCCAGTCCGCCCTGTCTCGGCGTATAGCTTGACCGAATCCTATGCTCCTGGTGCTGGCACGACGCGAGCTGGCGTCGCTGTCAACCCTACCCCGCCACCTCACGGGGGTTATGGCGGCGGCGGCGTCAGCAGTGGTGTCGATCAAGGCTACAACTACGGTGGTGACTATGCGACGGATCCGGCCTACAGGATGTCCGCCATCGATGAGGACGATAGCTGGCTCCGTCGTCAGCAGCCCAACGCTGCTCCCACCGGCGGCCTGAAGCGTTATGCCACCAGAAAGGTCAAGCTTGTCCAGGGTTCCGTTTTGAGTCTTGACTATCCCGTTCCTAGTGCTATTAGGAACGCTGTTCAGCCCAAGTACCGCGATGAGGAGGGCAACAACGAGGAGTTCTTCAAGATGCGTTACACTGCCGCCACTTGCGATCCCAACGACTTTACGCTCAAGAACGGTTACGATTTGCGCCCTCGCATGTACAACAGACATACCGAGCTTCTCATCGCCATTACGTACTACAACGAAGACAAGGTTCTGCTCTCCAGAACACTGCACTCCGTCATGACTAACATCCGCGATATCGTAAACCTGAAGAAGTCCTCGTTCTGGAACCGCGGAGGACCGGCGTGGCAGAAGATTGTCGTTTGCTTGGTTTTCGACGGTCTTGATAAGACAGACAAGAATGTTCTCGACGTTCTGGCCACCATCGGTATTTATCAGGATGGTGTTATCAAGAAGGACGTTGACGGCAAGGAGACTGTTGCACACATTTTCGAGTACACAAGCCAGCTTTCCGTCACACCAAATCAGGCGCTCATCCGGCCCGTGGATGACGGCCCGCAGACACTGCCCCCTGTGCAGTTCATTTTCTGCTTGAAGCAGAAGAACACCAAGAAGATCAACTCGCACCGTTGGCTGTTCAATGCCTTTGGCCGTATCCTCAACCCCGAAGTATGCATTCTGTTGGATGCCGGTACCAAGCCCAGCCCCAGGTCGCTGTTGGCTCTTTGGGAGGGTTTCTACAACGATAAGGATCTTGGCGGTGCTTGCGGTGAAATTCACGCCATGTTGGGCAAGGGCGGCAAGAAGCTGCTCAACCCCCTGGTCGCCGTCCAGAACTTCGAGTACAAGATTTCCAACATTCTCGACAAGCCGCTGGAAAGTGCTTTTGGTTACGTTTCTGTGCTGCCTGGTGCCTTCTCGGCCTACCGTTTCAGAGCCATCATGGGCCGGCCGCTGGAGCAGTACTTCCACGGTGATCACACCCTGTCCAAGCTTTTGGGCAAGAAGGGTATTGAGGGTATGAACATTTTCAAGAAGAACATGTTCTTGGCCGAAGATCGTATTCTCTGCTTCGAACTGGTCGCCAAGGCTGGCCAGAAGTGGCATCTGAGCTACATCAAGGCTGCCAAGGGCGAGACCGATGTGCCCGAAGGTGCGCCCGAGTTCATCTCTCAGCGTCGTCGCTGGCTCAACGGTTCGTTCGCCGCCAGTTTGTACTCGCTCATGCATTTCGGAAGAATGTACAAGAGCGGTCACAACATCATCCGCATGTTCTTCTTCCACGTCCAGCTCATCTACAATATCGCAAACGTCATCTTCACATGGTTCTCTCTCGCTTCTTACTGGCTCACCACCACTGTCATCATGGATCTTGTCGGTACCCCGGTTACGGCTTCTAGCTCTTCGGCAGAACATCACGGTTGGCCCTTCGGTGACACGGTGACGCCCTTCTTCAACGCGGTTCTCAAGTATATCTACCTGGCATTCGTTATCTTGCAGTTTATCCTTGCATTGGGTAATCGGCCGAAGGGTTCCAAGTGGACATACATTACCTCGTTCTTCGTCTTCTCGCTCATTCAGTCCTATATCTTGGTTTTGTCCGGTTATCTTGTTGCCCGCGCGTTCTCCGTACCGCTCGACCAACAATTACAGCTGGACAACGCTAAGGACGCAATGGCTTCGTTATTCGGCGGCTCAGGATCAGCAGGTGTCATTTTGGTGGCCTTGGTTACCATCTACGGTCTTTACTTCTTGGCCTCCTTTATGTACCTCGACCCCTGGCACATGTTCCACTCGTTCCCTTACTACATGCTCCTCATGTCGACCTACATCAACATCCTCATGATTTACGCCTTCAACAACTGGCACGACGTCTCGTGGGGTACCAAGGGTTCGGATAAGGCCGAGGCACTGCCGTCCGCCAACGTCAGCAAGGGCGAGAAGGATGAGGCCGTGGTGGAAGAGATTGAGAAGCCGCAGGAGGATATCGACCAGCAGTTCGAGGCTACTGTCAGGCGCGCTCTGGCTCCATACAAGGAAGACGAGACGCCGGAGCCTAAGGATCTCGAGGACTCGTACAAGTCTTTCAGAACCATGCTTGTCGTGTCTTGGCTGTTTTCCAACTGCCTCCTCGCGGTTGTTATCACCAGTGACAACTTTAACTCATTTGGCATCGGGGTAAGCATTGCTGTTCACCTCATTGTGACTTTGAACGACTTACTAACATATATTGATAGCAAACCGCATCCGCGAGAACTGCGTGGTTCTTCAAGTTCCTTCTGTTCGCTACTGGTGCGCTCTCTGTCATCCGCTTTATTGGCTTCTGTTGGTTCCTTGGCAGGACCGGTATTATGTGCTGCTTTGCCCGTCGCTAAGCTAGGCAAACCCAAAACACGTGGTTGTTGTTGGGGCTTGTACATTGCTTACAAAGCGCAAAAGGGAAGAAGGAAGGGAGAAGGGTTACTGCTTTTTGGCGGCGGCACGGCGTCATGGCAGGGTAGTACCGTGAAACGGTCACAAAAAGCCTACTTTCTATTACGTGTGTAGTACCAAATGTTGGCTTCTCTTTTTTTGACGGTCTGAAAGGCTGTGTGGTGTTTCGCATTGTTGGGGTGAACTACTTGCTTGCTTTTTGGTTGGCTGGGTGTGACTATGATAGATGGAACGAATGGGACACTCTCTCTTCGACATACATAGGTTGCTGTCTTGATTATGGGTTATGCTTTTTCCGAGATGTCGATAGGAGGGAGCCAGCATGTGTTGATTTTGACCCTGCAACGTCTTCGAGCAGCTAGGTTGAGAGACATGTAGTAAAGAGAGCTATGGGTGTGGAGAAATGTTCAAGACGACATTTAAGTCAAGGCGCTTTCTGCTTATTTTTGTTCGTTAACTCTGAAAGACTGTGAATCGTAAGCATCATGGGAGCTGTTGACACTATGTAGTTGTTCATGGTTGTTATTGGAAACAAACCCCGGATAATCAGGCGGGTCCCGGAGTGATAGCCCGACGGAAGATACGGAACCTGGGCGGAGCGGCCGGAGCGGCGATAGAGCGTGTAATTTTCGGGGCATTTTATACGGTATGATACGCCTTACCTATCGCCCAAAGTTACCGGAGGGTTGCGGCCACGGTATCGACTGTAATGATGAGATCACAGAATACGGTACTACCGATTTTGCACGCGGGGATTGGACTTCTTTTTCTTTCATGTTCTACTACTCTGATCTGATTACTGATTTTCCATCCTAAGAGTGCGCTCCTCAACAGCTGGTCACAAGGTTTTTCGATTAGTCCTGTACGTAGAGACCTCCATGTTTGCTGACGTGACGGCTTGGTATTATAGCGGTTGGGCGGGCCAATCTGGAAGCGCCATGCCGGCCGGCGCTTTGCCTTTTTGTTATCGCGTGCCCCTCATCAAGGTGCGGTGCCACCCAGGTGTCTAAACGCCATCAGTTGGGTTTACCATATCACGTATCGCGAGCCTGGATTTCGCATCAACACCTGCTTTTGTCCTGACAAATCTAGCGCCAACAAGAACTTCCGGCCTGACACATCTTGAAGCTTTCGTCTTCGCTGCACTCAATTTTTTCTCGTGTCGTTGGTAGCATCGATGAGCTGCACCTCTTTGAGTCTTTTGGTCTAGTTTGACACTTCCTGTCTTGTCTTGTCCGATCTTTCCCCTGACACATACCTTACTTACCCTTACGCATGACCGATCCGTCATCTTGATCGATCGGAAATACCTTTACATACACCGCCTACGCTCGCAGGCCTCGGCATCATCCGATACCTCTATCCCTTTCGTTACCTCCTGCAACCTTCGCGTCTCCGTAGTTTGACAGCTACTTACCTACCTACCGCGTACCGTTATCTCCATCTCCGTCCTCTCTTCAACCAATTTTACCTTTTTCACTCGAGCGCAAACCGAAACCCTCGACGACCTTGTTCCCTCCGTCTGTTGGCACCCGCATCGCATATACACATACATCACGCAAACATATACGTGGATCCGCGGCAGGGTCACCACCGTCAAGATGTTGAAGATTTGGTCTATGGTACGGAACACCACAATACTTTGATCCTTGTCCCATCAAGTAGGGCGCGCATAATCTGATGCGATCATGCTCCAAACGACCTAAGACGGGAGGCGCGAAACTGTATGCTGACACGATCTTGATCAATCATGTAGAAAAAGGAGCAGCAGAAGGCCGAGAATGCGGCCGGGGCTGAAAGTGGCGGGAAGAAAAAGAAGGTCACGGCGGCGCAGTTGCGGGTGCAGAAAGGTACGTAACGGCGATCCGATCGCAATCCTGGCCGGAGGCTGCCAATTCTCGGTTCCTGCTTCAACATTACCCGCTCGAGCTGAGCTGTCTTCGGCTCCGTGTGGTCCACAGCTATAGGGAAAAAGACCTTCAAGCTAACGGCATGTTGCCCTCCTTACGGGACGGTAACACTAATGAACAGATCTCAGCGAGCTTTCACTAGGCAGCACAATGAAGACCGAGTTCCCGGACCCAGACGATATCCTCAACTTCATCCTCTACATCGAGCCGGACGAGGGCATGTACAAAGGCGGCAAGTTCAGCTTCACCTTCAACATCACACCCAACTTCCCGCACGAGCCGCCCAAGGTGCAGTGCCGCGAAAAGATCTACCACCCCAATATCGACCTGGAAGGCAAGGTGTGCCTTAACATTCTGCGCGAGGACTGGAAGCCCGTACTCAACCTGAACGCCGTCATCGTCGGCCTGCAGTTCCTCTTCCTCGAGCCCAACGCGAGCGACCCGCTGAACAAGGAGGCTGCCGAAGACCTGCGGTCCAACAGGGAAGGCTTCAAGCGCAACGTCAGGACAGCGATGTCGGGCGGTACGGTCAAGGGTCAGACGTATGAACGGGTTGTCCAGTAGGTATCGGGAACCCATCAAACTCAAGGCCAAAAGACCCATCAAAAGAAACACACGTAACAGGAGAACCAGGTCTGTGCGTTCACCTCTTTCTCAGCCCCTCAGCCTCAAAAGTTTTCAGCTCGCTTGTTTCAGCCTCAGCGCCTACCTTATCTAGGATTTAGCGAACTGTGGAATATACCCAACCCCCAGGTCCCATGGGGATGGTAGAGGATGGCTCGGGGATCGGGATGAGGACACGCTATGCTTGGCATGCAGAATGGAGTTGTGGGAGTGGAACTACTGTGCTGCTCTGTCAGTGGATGGATGGGCGGGCGCTCGCTCGCTGTCAGTCACCAGTAACCGGCAGGTTCCTTATCTGTCGTAAGGCTGGTAGTGCTGGGCGGGCGGGGAGGGGGGAAGGGGGTCAGACGACGAACGGGGCGGGAGCTACTACGTATGTTCCTGACACGCCAAACTCCCCGGATCTACCTTACCCAAACATGGAAGCTCCCTAAGCTAAGATCTAGGCACTCTGCGGGCGGGTATGTAGTGTAGGCGGGAACATGAGGGAGGGACTTGCATTGGTGGAAGCGAAGGGAGGGGGAGGGGAAGAAGACTGGGGAATGCTAGGAGCGGATTCATTAAGCGGCGTTAATTTATAGGGCGAATGGACATGAGATGATTTTCAATGACCACGAGAGTGGTGTTAATATGCAGCTCTGACGTCCCATATGTACATTGCCGTTGTTTAGGTTTGATTTCCTTTGTTCCATAGAGTGTTCATGTAGTGGCTTACCTTCCACCTATAATCCACCTTTATGATAGACTCATGTCTTTTCTGTTGTCACTTTGCTCGTCGATGATTTCTTTGCAAACGATGGAACCTTCCAATGTGGTGAGAGTAGTATCTTCCCATACAAACTAACGCCCAGGGTTGACATTTTGGAAAAAAGAAAGGCATTGTCGAAATGTACCGATCAGAACCTAGGGGCAACGAAGTCGTTGTTAGGATGCCAGGGAAAAAATAAAGCCTTCTCCTCTTTACAATTTGCCTAGCCAGACCATTCCACACAAACTAAGACACGAAAACCCTCCGAGTATCGGTCCTATTCACATGCCAACCTAACACCCCTGAGATCCAGATCCTGGGGTGCTCTCACCTTTTTATGTGACTCACCATCATATACCAAGGACCACAATCATCAATACCGAGCACAGAAGTCACAAAAACTGAATTATAAATCGGACGCGGATTTGGAAGTGGAAGTGAACGTGAAAGTGGGAGTGTAGCAAGCACATCATTGCCCCTACGTCCCAGACTGTGAGATGGCATGAAGGCATTCCCATGCAGAGGCGGACCGAAGCCGCTCGGCCCTACATTGACGTTGCCCCGGTTCGGCGCTCTGTCAACCAGTGAGGTGACATTCTGGGGACTGGAGGTGACCGGGGTCTACCCATATTCGATGATTCGTGGATCGTGGGCCACGATTTGACCCAAAGGGGACCCGCTCAACCCCAGTTTTCAAGGTGACTTGGTCTCCATTTCGGGGCGCTGGTCGGAGTTGTTGAGAACCTCTGGAGCTGGGAGAGCCACAGCTTGCTTGTGTATGGTTCCTGCTTGTGACGAATTGGGGTGACATTCAGGAGGGGACCCGTCGTGGCAACTAGGAAACGGTTTGTTCTCACAGACTCCTCATATTGAAGAAAGGCGGCATTATATTCATCGGAGGTCAGTAAACACACGCCAACAATCAGACAATGACAGGCGTGGTTACCAAACCTATGACAAAAACCACGTGCGAACTTCCGCGCGGCATGGAGCTCTGGCAATGCCGCAGTTAGGTTCCGGTGGAAATGGCAGAAACGGGGACTGAGTGAATGGGCAAAAAAGGAAATGGCTTGAGAATGGGTCCCCCCTGTCCTTCGAAGCTGTTGTCAGAGCTCCGTACCAGGGTACAGGGCCGGTAGTTCAGTCCAGACACCATGCCGACGACGCCAGTGGCGTCAACATCTTTGAATTTGGAAAGGGTCCAGCATTGCCGCAGCATCTGGATGCTCCGTGTCGCGAGAGTCTCGAGTGTGTCGAGCTGGAACTGAATGGCCTCGCTATGGGCAATTTCTTGGCGTGCCCCGGGCTTGGCTGGCACGGTTGCGGCCAGTCACAGGCTCACGGCGTAACCGCAGCAGAGGGGCGCGAAAGCGGGTTTCACGCTTTTGGAGGCGGACTTTGGTTTGCTTAGAGCACCGTCGAGGGCCCAGCCATAGCTCGCCAAGATATCCATGGAAAAGCTGGAGGACAAGGGGCCCCACCCACAAGTGTCGCCAGCGACCGACTTCGGTGACAGCATGGCAGCCAGCTCCAACTACGAATGGGTTGCGGACCAACCAGAGCGTTTGGTTTGCGGTGCGCGTTGCTCGAGTCTGGCAAACGGGAGGGAAAATTAAAAATTTGGACCCGCATATCGGTGACTACTCGGCAGCGTCAGACAGTCACAGACAGTCAGACGGTTGGGGATCAAAAGGTCGTAGTCTTCCGTAGCTGCTCCGTACACTGGTGCCCGCTCCTGAGCTCCGGATCTCCTCAAAAGCCAATCCCTCTCTCTTCCCATCTGACCTTTCTTCTTCTCTCCCGTCCTTCTTTCCTTCCCTCCCCATCAAATCCCATTACCCCCAAGCACTCCATCACAATGGCCGCCCGCAACTGCACCAAGGCTCTCCGCCCCCTGGCCCGCCAATTGGCCACTCCCGCCGTCCAGCGCCGCACCTTCGTGGCTGCTGCCAGCGCTGTCCGCGCCTCCGTTGCCGTCAAGGCCGTTGCCGCTCCCGCCCGCCAGCAGGTCCGCGGTGTCAAGACCATGGACTTCGCCGGCCACAAGGAGGAGGTTCACGGTGAGTCCAGATCCAGATCCACTTAGTCGGCAGCCATTGGGCCGAAATAACAAACAGAACTGTTTACTGACGAGCTGTCCCTACACACAGAGCGCGCTGACTGGCCCGCTGAGAAGCTCCTTGTGAGTCATTGCCATCTCAATTACACAAGTTCACCGAGCTGCCCGCAGAAACACGTGCCCGTAGCTCCAAGCCCAGCCCTCTAGCCCAGCTATGAGCTTTCCCCGACCATGGATCATCCCAAGGGTCTGGGCGGGGCATGGCGGGGCGTGAGCAGTTCAAGCTTCACTCACAAGCTCAATTGAGTCGTTGAACTCGCATGAACTCCCATACTGACCCTTTCTCTTTTTTTCAGGACTACTTCAAGAACGACACCCTCGCTCTCATCGGCTACGGCTCTCAGGGTCACGGCCAGGGTCTTAACCTCCGTGACAACGGCCTCAACGTCATCGTCGGTGTCCGCAAGAACGGCAAGTCCTGGGAGGACGCCATCCAGGATGGCTGGGTTCCCGGCAAGAACCTCTTCGATGTCGATGAGGCCATCTCCCGCGGCACCATCGTCATGAACCTCCTTTCCGATGCCGCTCAGTCCGAGACCTGGCCCCACATCAAGCCCCAGATCACCAAGGGCAAGGTGAGTAACCAAGCTTGTAGCGAAGATGCCATTGGGTCTTGTGGTGGCGCGAGCTAACAAACATCTCCAACAGACCCTCTACTTCTCCCACGGTTTCTCCCCCGTCTTCAAGGATCTCACCAAGGTCGAGGTCCCCACCGACGTTGACGTCATCCTCGTCGCCCCCAAGGGCTCCGGCCGTACCGTCCGCTCCCTCTTCCGTGAGGGCCGTGGCATCAACTCCTCTTTCGCTGTCTACCAGGACGTTACCGGCAAGGCTAAGGAGAAGGCCGTCGCTCTCGGTGTCGCCGTCGGCTCCGGCTACCTCTACGAGACCACCTTCGAGAAGGAGGTCTACTCTGACCTCTACGGTGAGCGTGGCTGCCTGATGGGTGGTATCCACGGCATGTTCCTCGCCCAGTACGAGGTCCTCCGCGAGCGCGGCCACTCCCCCAGCGAGGCTTTCAACGAGACCGTTGAGGAGGCTACCCAGTCCCTCTACCCCCTCATTGGTGCCCACGGCATGGACTGGATGTTCGACGCCTGCTCCACCACCGCCCGCCGTGGTGCTATCGACTGGACTCCCAAGTTCAAGGACGCCCTTAAGCCCGTCTTCAACAACCTCTACGACTCCGTCAAGAACGGTGACGAGACCAAGCGCTCTCTCGAGTACAACTCTCAGCCCGATTACCGTGAGCGTTACGAGGCTGAGCTCGACGAGATCCGCAACCTCGAGATCTGGCGCGCCGGCAAGGCCGTTCGGTATGTGACCTCGTCTGACCTTTTGCCACAAAGACCCCTGACTAACATTTGTTTCTCTTCTAGCTCCCTCCGTCCCGAGAACCAGAAGTAAACAATTGGCTTTTGATGCTTTTTGGTTGGGTCGTGATTTCTGCTTGCACGAGGGATACACAAATGATACTCCGGTAGTTGGGCAGGTTTGAAAAATAACAGATGCACACAACACGCTGCACAGGCCGCATCATATGACTGGCCGGCCGCTGGAACGGGACGGGATACCTCTGGGAAATATGGGGGATATTAAAAAGCCTTTTCTCCGACGTCTCTTCGATTTGGTTTGTTCTGGGTTCGGTTTGTTCGGATTGTATATAATTATCTTTATGGGGGGCCTCTGCCCGGTGGCATGTCGGTCAATGAACTTTTCTTTTTCTTTCTCTGTTCAATGGCTTGGTCTATGCATTAGTGATCTGATTCTTAGACAGCAGACGAGCTGACATTGACTTCAACTTCTAGTTCCTCTTTATATACGCTCCTCTCCTTTCCCGGTCTATTCCTCACCAAACAACCTCCCCAACGCCGCCAACTCAACATTCCCCCCGCTAAACACCACCCCCAAATCCCACCCTTCCTCCCCCCCTTCCCTCTCCACCATACTCCTAAACTCCTCATTAAATAACGCCACCGCCAACCCCACTACCGCGCTCGGCTCAACAACAACCTTCATCCTCTCATAAACCAGCCTCAGCGCCTTCTTGATCTCCTCCTCGCCCACACTGTACATGCCCGCCACCAGCTTCCGCTCATAGATGATACTCCACGGATACGCCCCCAGAGGAGTCCTCAGCCCGTCGGCAATCGTCAGGGATTTGACGCTCTCGATACGAGTGCCCGAGTAGTAACCCCGACGCCCGTCGTCCGCGCCGGAGAAGGAGGGTTCGGCGCCGAAGACCAGGATTGGACCGGGGGTGGAGGGATCGGAAGGGGAGAGGTCGGAACAGGCGAGAGCGGTGCCGGAGAGGAGACCACCGCCGCCGCAAGGGCTTATTATCGCGTTAAGACGACGGTTGGTGGTGCCGGAGGTGGAGAGAGAGGCGGCGACTTGGCGTTGGAGCTCTAGGGCGGCGGTGCCTTGGCCGAGGATGATGTCTGGGTCTGTTTTGGGTTGAGGCGGGGATGTTAGTTGGTCGGTTCGGTGTTGGGGTGAAGAGGGCCTCGGCAGGGTTTGAAAATACTCTGAAGAGACTCCTAAAGAAAGGACACGTGAGAAGAAAAAGGAGAAAGGACATACGATCATAAGGCGGCACCAGCCTCGCACCCGTCTGCTCAATCACCTCCCTTGTAACTGCTTCACGCTCCGTACTCGTGCTCCCGCTAAAGGTTATGTTGGCGCCGTAATCCTTGGTGGCAGCGATCTTGGGCGGAGGCGAGATGGTCGGCATAACGATGTGCGCCGGGATGCCGTTCTCGCGGGCAGCGAGGGAAAGGGCTTGGGCATGGTTACCTTTTGGTTGTCACGTCAGTTTAGGTCTTCACGTAGCTCTACGTCTTGAACACATCGACAACTCTCATCACATCTCAGACAATCCAGACAATTCAACCTATTTCAAAGCCCCCCAAAACCTCACATCTTCACAATCTCATGTCTCAACAACTGATATCACCTCATCATATCCAGATGAAGAAAAAAAAAAGGCAGAAATTCACAAACCAGAACTATGCGTCACTACTCCGCCCTTCCTCAACCCCTCTAACCCCTCAGTTTGCTTCAACCTCTCCACAGCATGAAACGCTCCTCTAGCCTTGAACGCGCCAATCCGCTGGAAATTCTCGCACTTGAACCAGAACCGAATCTTTGGGTTCGCCGGTCTTTCGGTAGCCTCCCATTCCGTCCCTTGCAGCTCTTCGGGAGTACGAGGGGTGGAAGCAAGTTGGTCGAGAGTGGTATTCGTGAGCACGGGTGTCTCGTGGATGTAGGGCTTTATGAGGGAGTGAGCGGCGAGGACGGAGGCACGGGTAAGGGGAGGGGTGGTGCTGGGGTCGGCCATTTTGTAGGTTGGGGCTTGTCACTTTTTTGTTGATGTTAGTGGAAGGTGATGAGTGTAAGTTGACAACAAGAAGACACTGAATGGGATAGAGAGGGATGAGTAAAGATAAAGGTTCAACTTGGTCTTAGTGCTGACACGAATACGGTTCAAAGGTGATTTCAATAGTCTTTTGTTCTAGAACTCGCTGTCAGCTTCCCGCTCCATTAAAAGTGGGGGCCCCCGAAGGAACGGAGCGGGGGCGGGTCTGGACGGCGGATGTGTGGGGTCACGGCAGGGGATCCCGATGACGGCCGATAAGGAAGATACGGCGTCTAGGTTCCTGTCATCCATCTGTGTAATCGATAAGTGCCGATACGGTATCGAGCAGCTAAACAGTCCGCATCGAGGCCGGAGTCGGAGTGCCTATTCACATAACGGAAGTTGGAAAGTGAAGAAAGATGACCAGGAAAGGCTGTGCCATGGGTTCCTTGTGTGAAAAAGCTGAAGCATAGAAGAGTTCGAGAATACGAGAGGGTGAAGAAGGCCGATAACGGATGAGGTGATCGGATTGCCATGTGGATATTGAGCCCGAAAGGTGCGTATTACATTGCAAGGACCGCCCTGATCCGACCTTGACCAGCTCTGGAGCTTTCTTCTAGTCAAGCGTGTGTACTTACTTCGGCATGTTATCGAGGATAACTCGAACAGGAAGGTCTCCTAGTGTCTCAACTCCAAGATAACGCTTGAGAGATCTATTCAAGTCTGCAATCATGCCGAAATCTGCTGCCACGCCAACAAAGTTCTGTTTTGTATCGGCCCATCACAGCTTGTAACCATCCCAGTCCATCATGAAACTGAAAATCATCTTTCAGTCGATAGGCCAGTGATGCCCATATCATTCATCCTTGAGGCCACATGCCCGAAAATACAAACACTTGTTCATTAACCATATACATCATCTAGTTCCTCGCACAAGGGAACAAACCCCACCCTCCCCTTTACATGCTCATTTGGTTGTAAGAATTGATAAGCTCGTTGAGCTTGTTTCCTTCCATCTTGTAGTCAAGAGGCGCCACGCTCATGACCTGGTATCGAATCCTGCAACAAGCAATGTGTCAGCAACATCCATCTAAACGTGAGAATAACCCCCGATACGTACCTCTGCTGTTCACCAAATGTGTCCATCTTCGCCCTGCACCTAAAGTTCAGCTTGCGGCAGTTGGCCTGCTCAAACTCTGCGGGCAACCGCGTCTCGTCGGTCTCTCGAATCTCCATAAGTTCATCGGCCGACTTGCCCATGATGACCCGCGCCGTGTCGTCGAAGCAGCTAAGCCAAAGTTGACCTGTGTGGTCGTTGACGTTGACGCTCATAATGTAACGGTACTGAGGTCTGTCGTGGTTGATCTGGCACTTCTCGCAGCGCCAGGTACCATCACCCATATCTGTGACCTTCCTGTTACAGCCTTCGCTCCGGCACCCAGGGTAGGCAAAGTTATCCTGCTTGATGAATACAACCGTTGCCTTGAGAGCGAAGTAATCCGGCGCCTCGTTTGTGCCAAGGTTCTCTTCCTTTACTTGTGAGATGGTCTTGGCGTCGTCCTTGCGACCGGTCGCACCACCCAAGGTCTGCATGTTGTTGTGTGTGGCGAAGGTGTTGTTCCTGCCGCTGCTATCATACCAGCCCTTGAGATGATGGGCCTCTGGAATATCCGGATCGATGGCCATGGTGCCAGACGAAAGCAGGGACAAGCTGCGTCCACCGAAATCGCTGACCTTTGTGCCCTTGAAGGCCACAATGGATTCAGGCTGAGCATCAAAGTTCGTGGCCGTCTTACCCCAGATGGTACAACGTACCGAGTACCCAGTGTTGTCAACAAGGGTCAGCTCGCGCTTGTCGTACGGCTTCTGTGTGGTCTTGGATACAATCTGGGTCACCTCTTGGACCTCCTTGAGAACACCAATAATATCGACAGTCGCATCCCTCTCAACATCCTGGAGCTCCTGGATGTTGACAAAGTTGAAGCGTACCTGTGGTACAGATGTCTGGTCTTCGGCCTTTTCGATCACGGTATCCCGCTCAAAGGTGAGCTCGTAGTCATTGGGGAGATTCGACCACTGCTTCTTGGCAAGTTGTACCCTGCAAGGTGTAGAAATGTAGTAAACCTGACCCTCCTGTAGCAAATCATAGAACTGGTCGACTTGGTCGTTGAATCCCGTTGCTCTAATTTCGCCACTCTCGTCAAGAAAGTTGACGCTAAAGAGCTTGCCCTCGCCGCTAGCCTTGTGCCAGGTCTTGATATCGGACTTGGAGGTGACTCTGGCCTTGATGGTCCATTTGTGCGAAAAGGGCGAGAGACCTTCAATAGGATATATCGTGCTTGATCCTTGACCCCCGCTGGCATTACGCGAGGGCATCTGGCGTGGAAACTGTGGTTTCGTGTCTTGGGTAGGTTCGCTCTTGACGCCATAGAAGCCGGTGCTGCCGAGATTGGGGTTCTGCTGTGGTTCTGCACTGCGGGGGCCAAGAGGCTGCGGATCGCCCATCTTTTCGGGGCAGCCAAGGGACTGGATAACTTCGAGATCGAGGACAATCAAGATGCTGGGTTTCAACAGTCAGTATTGTGGATTTCCCGAATTGGCGGAGGGGTAAATAGGCGTACTTTTTGCCCTTGAGACATTGAGCTTGATACTGCTTCAAGCGCACGATGCAGCCGCGTTGCAAGAGGCCATCGTGGACGAGATGGTTTGTTTGCGTGGCCATCATACATTGGACATAGTTCTTGAGGTCGCTCAGCACAATGCGGAACCTCTCCGTGGCGCCCGCGCCCCCATTCTTGGAGTCGAGGGTCTTGATCTGGAGACATTGAAGGATGGGGACGGGGAACTGTTGTTGTGCGCGATCGGGATCATTGAACATGGCGCTATAGCAAGAAGTCAGAGTCTGTCATACTACTGGATGGAAGCACACGTGAAGAAACCTACTCCAGAGCGCCCTGTGTGATTTGACCCGCCATGTTGGGTAATGTTGGCGTCAAGCCCGTGGAGACGTTCTCGATGTTGATTTTGAGGTTGATTTATGCGTGAGTCGTGTTCGAAGATGCAAGGATTGGGCGCAGAAGTCAAGAAGGATCCGACAAGATACGGATGGATCGAGTGTGTTGGACTGATGAAGATGGTGGTCTGGAGGGGAAATTTCACACAAACAATGGACTGCAGCAGCGACGCGTTTGGCAGCGCGTCGAGGAGGGGCAAGAGTTTAATTGCTAGGCATCCACGGTCCGTGCGGAGGGCCCCAGTATGTATAGCGCGTGTAGTTTGCGTTTGCCGGGGAGTGTTGCTGCCAAGCGGTTCTGACAAGCATGGCAGTTGCCCGCCAACCCCATATCTCCACATCAAACCCCACCCGAGAGCTCAACCTTCAGCAAGTTCCAGGGGCTCAACTTCCCTCTTGGCCTCGTTAACTTCTTAAGCTTTTGGAACATGTCATGATTTCTCTGTCAGGTCTTGCAGATAGAACCCTTTTTGCTAATATATTCACACAATCATGTGATGACTGTATATAATAAGGGTATTTTTCTTCCGGTGCTGTAGGAAGACGAAAGGGAAAAGGACCTTGGGTCCCTCAAGGAAATGGAAACCGAAGACGGGGGGTAACCATTCTTGATCAGGAACCCTATCTTGAATCTTTCGGTGTGAATTGTCCCGTCTTGGGCCTGCCCTTTGCATGCCGAACGTACCCCACCTCGTCGTGGTTCCTGGCTGTCTGTGTCGATCCCATCTCCCACCCCCTCCTGACCATCGAGGTACTCTCCTCGTACTGTAGCGCGTGCCTGCCTATGCTAGGACGAATAGAAAATATAAGAAGGAGAAGGCTCGATTGGAAGTTCCCCCGTTGCCTCAGTTAAATCCCATCCATACTTTTGTGTGTTCAGCGTTGGTTTGCCTGCAGGACGGTACACCGCTTCGACGTCCTGACCTTCCTACTTCCTGTCATCTCTGACTTTGCTTTGTTCGCTTGTCTCCTTCTCTTTCCCTATCACTGGATACCTTACTTTCTTGCCAAACATATCCGTCGCTTTACCAAACTCGAGCTCGATAAAGACCTGATCAAAATGGCATCATCTCCCGCCGTTTCCGTTCCCATCATCGACACCCATGTGCACCTCTATCCCCAGTCCGAGGTAGAAACCTACCAGTGGTACGCTGAAGACAATCCTCTCGCCAAGCAGCACTCCATCCAGGAATACCAGACCGCCACCGGTGCGCCTGGCAATCTTCAGGGCTACGTCGCAATCGAGGTCGACCGCAAGAACGACAATGCTAAGGATTGGACTCACCCACTACAAGAGATCGCATGGCTTCGCCGCATCGTAACCGGCCAACCGAAGCCTGGCGAGGGCCACACGGCTGACGATGGCCGTGATTGTCTCGGAATTGTGCCGTGGGCGCCGGTTGTATTGGGCTCTGCAGAGTTGGAAAAGTATCTCGCAGCTGCGGAAAAGGAAGCCGGGCCTGAAACATGGGCCAAGGTGAAGGGTTTCCGCTACTTGCTGCAAGATAAGCCCAACGGAACAGCCCTAAGTGACGATTTTATCGAGGGCCTGAAGCTGCTTGGCAGAAAGAAGTTCGTCTTTGACCTGGGTGTTGACCAGCACAAAAGAGGGAGAATCCAACTGGAGGAGGCGGTAGAAATGATCGACCGTGCACACGAAGGTGTGGACGAGGAGGACAAAGTGGTATTTATCCTGAGTAAGTTTTCACCTTGACACATTCTGCATGAATTGCTTGCTAACTGATGGTTCTCATCTCAGACCACCTTTGCAAGCCAGATCTAACCATCGTCAACGTACAAACGGATCCCTCATACATCGCCTGGCGCACCGCCATGTTTACTCTCAGCAAGTGCGACCGTACCTACATGAAACTGAGCGGCTGCTTCAGCGAGATGCCCGAGTTTTTGAGGGCTCGCCCGGCCGAGGAAATTCTCTCTGCTATCCTACCCTGGCTTGCCGTGGTGATAGCCGCCTTTGGGCCCGAACGCATCATGTTTGGCAGCGACTGGCCGGTGTGTACTCTAGGCCTTGGTGATGAAGCCTGGAAGAAGTGGCGCAGAGTGGTGGAGATGACGTGCCATATGGCTGGCTTGGGACCCGAGGCTCAGACAAGGCTCTGGGCGGAAACAGCGAGGGAAGCGTACAAACTTGATAGTCGTCCGGTCTACAAAGTCGTAGACTTAACGAGAAGCGACGAATAGAGGCGGACCACTGAATATCAGGTTTAGTACCACCACAAACAGGAAGGCTGGCTTCTTCCTTGGTCGAAATTGTGTCATTCTTTCAAACCCCAACGCTTGAAAGGCAATGTCGGATTCATGACTTACATGTGAGGAACGTTATCCTCTCAGAGAAGCGGTGCTTAGAACTCAAAACGAAGGGATATTCTGGAGATATGGACATTTTACGTATATTCATGTTCGGACGCAAATCTTCTTGCGCTTGATTAGCCTTTTGGCATCACGACGAACTTAAACATAATTTAGCGCTTCTGACGACCCAGGATTGGAAGCCTTTTTACATAAATACATGTGTGGGATGCCAAACTCCCCTATACAGCAGGAAACTCGGAAAGTTGAGCGTGACTTCATATCACGACAGCCGATTCCATGCAACCGAATCGATATAGCAGAAAGATGATCTGCCCAACGTGGACAGATTCACGGCGATTAAAGTCGAGTGTCTTACAGCTAGAGACGTGAGACTACAAGCCAATTGCTAACCTTCATGTCTCCTTCCATTAACTTTTGATTGTTGCTCGGTAACCAAGCAGACTACCTCCAAACACCAGGCATGGGTTGATCATCTACCTCTTTCACCCCATCTCTCAACACCATCAAATGGGGCATGTTGTCAAGTGGCTCAATGAGGCGTTCAACAGGCTAGACTCGCAGACGCGAGCCTACACGTTTTTGTTTCTTTTGTCTTTTTTTCTGCTTTACGACGAATAGCTGTATCCTACAGGTTGAATAATTTTGGCATTTTGACTCTGCATGTGTCTCACGAGTTGCCAACGGAGGTACCGGGAGAGATACCTTCTATAACCCAATGATCCCAAAAAGGAGTAGGAGTGTCCAAAATAGACTCCATGCTCTCACTCACCCTTTTTCTAGGTATGCTTCCATAACCCTTCTTGAATGCTTCCATCCTCCTCCCAATGTCGCCGTGTAACACCAGCTTTTCGAGTCTTCAAGTACAAATACAGTCATTTCCGCTGGTCGGGTAGACTTTAAAACCAGGAATTCATCTAGAGGTACCGGGTTTCACCTTCCTACCTATTCATCGCCAGGGTCACTCATGTTTTTAGTGTATGCGGGGTCCAGGGTCTTGAGATCCACCGTTTCACTCATATCCTGTCTTATCCCGGCCTGGGACATCTTTCCCTCTTTCCTGCGAGAAGATGATATCTTGGATCTTCCCGTATCTTACACACTCAACTTGAATCTGATGTCGTACACTCGCGGAGCACACACGCTTCGGCCATGTCACAGCCAGTGAATCAGTAAATCTCTTTGTTTCTCGTGTTAACGTGTGTGGAACCAGCTGATGGCTGTATAAGTGTTTCTAGGAAAGGACACACACGTCGGGACACACTGGGACACACGCTGGCTGGTGCCTGGGTTTGTGATACCTTGGGGGTGGTAGAGGTAGAGTTGGGGGAGTTACACGACATATCAAGTATGCCGTTTGGGAAAAATCTACAAGTTTACACTATCTGCGCTTTTTTGTAATCGTTGGCATAAGATTGTAGTAGCTGGAGAACTGGAGGGCGTGGAGGACTGAATGGCTTGGTGTTATTGATACCAACTGAGATAGAGTTGCATGGCGACTAACTATCTTCTTGTGGGTGTACGTAGAAGTGAGGTGGCAGGCTTCTGGAAATTTCCTGGATGTTGCTGTGTCTTTGCTTTGGGTTGCACGGGATGTAGGTGATTCGAAGGTATCGTGTTTGGATGTCTTGTTTCGTATGTCTATGATCCAGAGTTATTTCAGGCAAAGTCGAACTTGATACTTGTTCACAGGTATCGTGTTACCATTAACTCAACCCGCCGAAAGAATATGCTAGAAAAAACATCAGCACCAATTGGGTCCAAACCAAAGGTTCCTTACTTGCCTACGGCTTGGAGGTATGGTCCAAGCCGTTGCTGTCAACATCGACAATCTACCCTATTCTATGATGCAGTTCTCATTGGTATAGTTGCATTGTGTCCAAACAGGCTCACCATTACCTCATCTCTTCCTCCATCCATAGTCACCACCTCTGATCCTATGTTGTCAATCCGTATCTCGGTGCCCTACCCCGTTCACCCGGTCTCCCATCACTGTCAAGTACTGCAGTCCGTCCGCTTGAGATCCGTTCGCTCGCCCGTCCGTCGGATCATCCGAACTTGTTGGTTGGCTCAAGGGACGTTCGAAGGGCAGCGAAAATAGTGGAATAAGTGCACCGCCTACCGGCCCAAGGGTTCGGGGTTTGCAGTGCATGACATGAACGTAGAGTGGATATTGACAGAGGGCAGGGCAGGTGCAGAAAGTGGATTTCTAGGGGACCAGCGGATCCCCTTTTAAGGCGCCTCGGCGCTTTGTGGGGGTCAACGACGGACCACCCCCCCGGATGTGTTTGCCACCGGGCCATCGGTACGGGGTCCACGGGCTTTCTATATTTGGAAATGTAGCGAGCGGGTACATAAGTGGACGATTAGACGACAGGTCTCAAACTGATCTGCTGTATCTGCTTGTTTCGAGACATCCTGATTTCTCCGAGAGCAAGGTTCACAGTACACTAGCGAAAGGACTAGATCGACGAAGGGGCAGTTCGTATTGCGAGCAAGCGAGCAAGATTGCGTATACTACGCGAATCTCGAATCGATCTGCTTGCTGAAACCGAAGTGACGCTGTTTTGGCTTTGTGGATGTTCGGTGTCTGTTGGAAACAAGAAAAAAAGAAAAAGGTTGGGTCGGTGGGGTTGTGGTAGTGTTCTGGATGTTTATAGCAATAGACCAATCGTTTTTTGAAGGTAATGTTTGTGATCATGACTGTGGTGGGCCCTTGTTTGGCAACCCAAAACAAAGCGAGATGGAGTGATAGAAGACATATGGTTAGTCGTTGTTAGTGCTGATAATATAGAGCACCAATCGTCAAAGGCTGAGATATTGGTTTTGTGATAAAGAGTCTTCTGGTTTAGACGGCTGAAAACCGATACATGAGGTCTTTGACATGTCATTGGGGTGCTGCCGATGTTGTTGGTCTTGGTCGCCCAATGAAATTGTCAGTGACGACAACTGGTGGAAACGATCAGTCAATTCTGATGCAGTATTGCAGGCTTTTTTATTGGAGACGACAGAGGGTGGAAAAGACGATCACCTATGGTTCTGGCGTCATATCCGAGTGACGCGTTAATCTTTGTTGCCGGGGAAACCAAAACATCATGTCATCTCATCAAATCGCCTGGGGCTGAAGAATTCGAACTGAGGTATGTTTGTAGCATTAAACTAAAAGCACAGCTTGTATGTGTCCGCCATGAAGGACCATTATCCTCGCGAGAGTTTTTGTGTGTGATGTAATAAGGATGTTTTGTAACCGAAGAACCAAAGATGACGAAGGCCATTCCTCAACCATTTTGTGCCTGCCCATTCCCATCACTCTATTACATTCCCGCCGTGACTCCGAGTGATTTTGTGTTGACCATGTACCGAGGAAAAAAAGAAAGGGGAAAAAAAATAAAAAGGACAACAAGGTTCTCTCGCTGAGAAGCTTTCAACCTTGACGAAATAAGAATGCTTGCTTGCTGTGCGACGAAGACGGCGATGAAGTGTTACAGTTGTATGTGTACAAAAGCCTCCCGATTACGGCCTATGCGGCCCCCCTTTGAAATGAGATAAGCTCGGGCGCTCGACCTGCGAACCAAGGAAAGAACAGCCAGAGCTGACCTAACGGCGAACGGGCGATGGCCAATGATGTTCCCGGAAGCTAACCGGGCTTGGAGGAGGAGGAGCTGGCACAGAGTAGTCATTCTCTTGGATGGTGTGACTTGGTGTTGACGGCTGGCTGTTCTTGCTGAAGGAAGCGTTGACACTGGCGAAGAGGTCTTGCGAGGTCATGACGCCGAGATTCGGGCGAGGAGCCGAGATAGGAGTAGGCTGAGCGATTTGGGAAGTCATTGTCAAGGAAATCTGACCGGAGTTAGCCAAGTTATCTGTGTGAGGGAAGCAGTCAGAGTGAAGCTTACGGTACGCTCAAGTTTTGTAGAAGTCTTTGAAATTGTAGACGGTGTCTGGGAAGATATGTCTCGAGAACGGGGAGGTGATGGAGCCCAAGCCGAGTTTTAATAGCTGAACAAGTCGAGGACAGACAAAAAGTCAAGGCGAGTCTGGTGATGCCTATGTTTGATGGTTGTAATCTGGCTCGAGATTGTCAAGTCGGATGGAATTCGTGGCTCGTTTTATGATGATTGTAGTACGGAGAGTCCGACAAGCAAACGATGTGGTCTTTTCAAGTGGCCGGTGCCGTGAACGAGGAGAGAGGGGAAGTTCGAAGGGAGAAAGTTGAGACCAACTGATTCTTTTATGGTCCAGTTGGGTCCGGGCCAGAGAAGGTGTGGAACTTGCCGTTGGGGAAAGAGATGGCAGGTTTGATGGAGGGAAGGAGAGATGGGGACGGTCAGGTCAGGTAGGACAGTGAGGATTGGACTGGGGACTGGGCCGGGGGTGTGGGGGAGAGCAAATCTGGGGAAGGACGGGAGGTTCAAGGTACCTCTACGTGTAAGTCACCACTTTGAAAGGTGTCTTATTAGCTGGGGCGGCATGAATGGCCACAATAAGAAAGGTTCTTCAACAGCAAAATGGACGAACCAAACCGTCCAAGAGACATGCACGGGAGTAGACATTGAGAAAAAGCAAACTGATAGGGGCCTTTTCGGGCACTTTGAGCACTCCTCCCTGCGTAACAATGTCTACGAATGGTACCAGCATATACAAGAAAAGTTTCGACATGTATCCATCGCCTGGTGGTGGCATGCACAAGGTGAATACCAGGTGTTTGACCGATGGGCGATGCGATCGATGGCGGGTTCACCTGGCAGTGACAGGCTGGCAGGAATGCTGGTGCCGGGGCGCAGTAACATGAGTGTACAATATATGATAGCATCGACTACGCGGCATCGGGTAAGGGATGTCGACATCCACCTAACCGACTGACAAGGCCGTCCCTGGTTGAGCTCATCATGGTTCTAATTCATCTTGAATCCTGACAGCACGGTCCCGGTCCCGGTCCCGGGGCACGACCCAGACAAGCACAGACTCGCCAGAGCTTCGGTAGAAACATTTGCTCTCTGACCATCAAAGGCGCAAAAAAAAAGACGAGACAGCAATCTGAACGGACAGGACAGTTGGCACCACAGCTGAGGGAGCACGGCGGGACCTGGCTGGCATTGGTTGATCGCTGGAGTCGCGCGAGACCGACGCATCTGATCAGTCGTGGATTTGCAGCTCAGGAATGACCAGAAAGATAAACAGGATGAAGTGTGGACTGGGAAGTGGCGGGCGACTGGATGCGAAAAGAGAAGTTGGCCATGGCAGCAGCGGGTTGGGGTTGGGGTTGGGCCCAGACTGTTATCCGAACCAAGTTGGGGGGTTTCCCGTGGGGCTCCCATGTTTCCACTTTTCGTGCATCCTTTTAGGGGTGGCCTAACCCGCTGTTAGCCAGGTACGTACAGCCCGTGGCTCACCTGAGCTCTTTTGCGAGGTGCAGCCCACTCTAACCTGAACAACAACTTCACCCCAACGACGCACAAGACTCTCCCATCAGCTCCCGCCTTGATAACACGGTTTGTACCCTCCCACGGCTCAACACGCCCAGATTCCAAGGTCGCACAGTTACCAGAAAAAAGAGACATCTATCCTGCCATTGGATCCGTCCTTTAAAGACCAGTCTCACGTCACGATGGCTGCCTTCGGAACCCAGTTTTCCATTAGAGATTTGGGGTTGCGGCGCCGTCCACTTATCGCTCCTTCTGGCCCGGACGGCGCTGTATGAGCATCCTTGATCACATTATGAACAGCCCTTCCCACACCGCCAGGGCAATACTAGACGGATGCTTTGATGTCTGTGCTGTCGCTACCAGTCCCGCAGTGTCTAACTAGGCACTATTCCGTATTGCCATCTGGCAAGGTGGCCGTCCACAATTCAGGATTGTCTTCCGCTGCTTGACCCTCCAAATGTTTGCGACAACGGACGGGAAGGACAGGTACTTCCGTGTAGCCAAGTGGCTGTTGGAGTGCTTCATGGAGAAACGAAAGTCGGGATACCCTTTAACTTCAGGACCACCATCCTCCCTTTGTCCACCATGAGCATCAACGTCACCGGTGTTTGACCATATCCCTATCTTAGTTCTGACCGGTGGCTGATTCCGTTCCACGAAACCTTCTGGAACTCGAATCTTCGCATAAAGTGGTGTCAAGGTAACCTCATCAGTGCCATCAAACCACAGCTCAGGTACCGTTTCCCCTGGAAGCCATGCGATATCTCCATGGAAGGGCTCCTGCAGCCGTTACGCCTAACGACCGACTGCAACCCTCATACTAACACTCGTTCGGCTGTCGGGACTCCTTTCCGGCACCCTACCGTTCATTTTCCTCCTTTTCCTTATATTACCCCGGATTTTCCGCCGACTTGGGATGGACGCCAAGGATTTTCGAAGGATGTCGAAACGAGGTTAATCTATTTCTGCACCATGCTAGTCTAGGTGCCCGGATCTTCCTATCAAACCCTGGACTACACGTGTTGACGGGACCGACGGCCAAGCACCTTGTCAGGTTGGCAGGGCAAGCAAATAATGCCCCGACAATCATCTATCTTGTCAGAGCAGCCGGTCTTGCCGCCGTGCCTGTTTGCGCTCAAGATCCGACGTCAGTCTCAACTTGCGGTGTGCTGAGGCTCTACGTAAGCAACGAAGATCTAGAAATGATCAGGTATTCGACAGAAAACGAGATCTCGATCTTTGCCGGCCAGGCGTCTGCTAAGCGTCGAACTACCGGCTGCCTCTTAGACTGTTGTGCCAAGTGGTATGGCTATCCATTGCAAGCTTCTCAGGCTCTGTGTACATCAACATTTCATCCAAAATTACTCGGACCTTGCTGATTGTCATCTCCAGCTATTCCTGGTTCACTTCATCGGAAGGTTTGACGGAAGCAGGAATTTTACGGAGTTTGACAGCAAACAGTTGTGGGTGTGGTGACAGCCATAGCTCATTTAGGCAGTCCCGGCATTTACACCTTTGTCAAAATAGTCTCATTGTATCCTTTTTTGGACACTAAATATACAACATCTCCAAATCGGCTGATCGCGTCAACCTAGCTCAAGCGATCATGACTCACCTACAGCTCCTCCAAGAAAGAATAATGGCCAATACAGTACACTTTACATATACTCGTACGCCCTTTCTAGTTATACGTTCCACTCGTATCTCACCGTCACGCAAAATCTTCCCCGCGTGCGCCGAGCCTGTAACGCCATGGGCCATGCTTGCTATCATCCGCCCACCAGTGCGGTTGGTTACTAAACCACGGACCAGCTGCACGAGAACCGTCTCTCACATTTCCCAAGCTATCCACAAGTACAACCAAGTAACTTCCAAACGCGCGTAACCGCTAATCTTCTCATCTCCGCACCTTTGTGTCTTTGACCTCACAGTTCGGCGCGGCGCGGCGCGGTACAGTGCGGCTGGTGCCAGGCAAGAATAGCTCCCTAGCAGGGGGAGGGAGGGAGGCAGTCTCAGATCAAAGGTTCTAATCAACAGCATTCCAAAACATTGAGCCGAACCTGGCAGGCTGGCAGGCAGACCAGCTCCAACCAAGTTCGGTTGTCCTGACGGTTGTTTCACTTGCAAAGTGTTCCATTAGGTGAAACTCACCGGCGCTGGGAATATTCGCCGGGGAACACCCACTCATCGTGGTACATCATCGTGGTACATCACCGGGGGACACTTATCGGGGGACACTTACCGGGGAACACTTACCGGGGAACACTTATCGGGGTTGGATTCCCAAGTCATGATTCAGAATAGACGTCGGGAAGGACAAAAATAGACAGCTGTGTAAGCATGCCCTGGGTTGAATCAGGGGGGGGACTGAATTGCAAACTCGAGCTTGAGCTTGAGCTTGACATTGAGCCTTCACCTTGACTTGTCGACTGTGTACGTATCTATGTTTACAGTCAAAACATGGAGCGAGGAAAGGGAGTTTGCGTAGGAAAAGTAACGTTACCGGGGCCTCAGCGCGATACTCTATCGAATGAAGACTTCATCCAGACACCCACAACCTCCCATAATCTTGCGTTCTAGAAGACATATTGCAAACAACTCGTCCAACGGATGTGCATTGGCGGTAGAAAGGATACATTCTTTAAAGCCGGACTGTATACCTTCAAGGCATTGGAGTCTTATCATCATGGACTGAACATAGACAGAGATGGGATAGACGAGAGAGGGTAAAGTTAGTATCCACAGCTCATGGAATGCTACCTCTACCAGATAACTAACATGAAGAAGGCATCACATACGACACTCCCCTCCGCTGTATCGTTCCTTCCCCGACCATGGCCAGTCGAAGGACGCCCCTGCCTAGGCGCTTGAGGAAATATTATACGATTAGAAGGAGTCACCACCCAAGACTGAAAGATACCGTAATACAAGGCAAATGGAGTGAAAATCATACATTCGGTTGTGTATGAAGACAATTCGACATTGCTTAAAACCGGTATGCCTGTGCGCTTGTACGCACGATTGATAGACAGACTGTATGCGAATGTGATGTAAATCTAGAGATACAAAGATGTAGATGTGGTTGTTCGCATATGCAACAGAAACGGCAATGCCTCCGCCAGCTCCATACACCCAAATACCGAAAAGCATAATCACATGCGAATGCCACATGCTCGATCCCATCATCATCATCACCACACATCAAACAACCAACGTCAGACAACATCCCATCCTTTTCAGGGTCATAACCAGGTGTGTTGAAATAAAAGAAGATCTCCATTCGCTATACAGATCTGGGGTATATATAAATGCGATTGCGCAGCGCCCAAGCCACTCGTCAACAGATTTCTGGATGATGTTCTTCACACCACCGCAAGACCGCGCTCGTCATTCCTTGTATCCAACATAGTTGTCCCGTTTTGGCTTCGAGAAGAAAAAAGTTGCGCGCCCGAAGCAACATCTATCATCTTAGCACAACCCTTTTCGCCTAGACCGGCCAGATGCCACAAGCTCACGACAAAGGCAGACTGATCGAGTCAACTCAGCGGAGGTAAGGCGAGGTTAGGATGGGCGTTTGAGTTGGGGGCAAGTGATGGCCTTTTCTTCGATTGTCCGCAGTCCGCACACTCTTCCCTCATCGGTACTGTCGATCCCAGGTGTCGTCGCGCGCTACTTTCTTGTTCTTTCCTGTGTCCACATCATTGTCGGTTCGGTTCGTCCATGGCATTCGGTCCTCGGCCCCGTCCCCTTCCACTTAGCCCCCCATCTGAGCCATACCCCGTTTACCACCACGGGATCGCCACTTCATACACCCTTCCTATTTGACAATCTACCGTCATACAACAAATAACCTTTGAAGGCATGCTTATAGCTTGGCGGCCTCAGCAAGAGTGCCGACCTTGAGCTTGGTGCCGTACTTCTCCAGAACGCTCTTGCCGTGGTACTTCCAGAAGGATTTGGTAGCGTCCTTGCCGGCCATGCGCTTGAGGATCTTGGCGCCGCCGGGGTGGTCGTCGAGGAAGTCTATATTCCATATCAAGGTTAGTCATCATCGTTTCCTTGTCGTATTGCTTGGCTTCTTAATTTGGTTTGCGTGTTGGTTGTGTTGGTATAGATGATTGCGCCGAGGGGATGGAACAGGAAGCAAGGGAGGGGTTGAGGGAGGTGCAGAGGAGGAGATATGAGAAAGGTGAGAGGACGGGAGGGGAAAAGAAAAAGAGAAAAACATACTGGTGATATCATAAACACCGTCGTCAATGATGATGTACATGGACTTATCGTCCTTGTGCTCGGCCACCTGGCTCTTCGTGAAGGTCTGAGACATCTTGGTGGTTTGGCGTGGTCGTGTGAGGGTAGGAACTTGGGAATAGATTGGGGATTTGCGACAACGAAGTGAAAGATGAGATGAGGAGTATGCAAGTCGCGTATATGCAAGCGCGGTAGACGACGGACGGGTAGAAGTGTCAAGGCAGAAGTTGTGGAGAGAACAAGTTGCGGGGGGAGGTTGATGATTGTCAATTGACAGACGCCGAGTGGTGCAAGCACAAGTCCATGTCGCGTGGACGTGGAGAAAGCATTGTACCTCGGTTCGGCTCACGTCGCCCGATGCGCCGCTAAACTGAAACGGGATGCACGCGGCAGGGGTTGGCTGTCACTGTTTCTGGTTTGATGTTTTGTGAGATGTTGGTTTCCTCGCAAACGTCATTCCGACTCCGATGAGATTGATTGAAGGTCTAGAGTCGTCGACCGTCGACCGGCATCGGCAGAAAGAGACCGAGATATCGGGACGAGGAGTTCGGGAGGGAACAGTCTGATCAACAGTGTCTTCATAACAACTAATTCTATTTCCAGATTTCTGTCCGTCTTCCCCTAACCAGAACCGAAACGCCATGCGAATGCTAAACACATCCGGTACGAGCCAGATGTGAATCGAAAACAGAAAGGCAACCAGCCACCGACATATACGGTTATAACGTGATTCTTAAACCAGTGTCCAGAAAGCAGCCCATATGAAACCCAGAGTCAGAGGCACCTTCAACATGGCCTCGATTCTCTGAGCCGAGCTGGCCGCCACGCCACAGCACTTCCTGTTGTACGTCACATTGTTGACTCTCGCCGCCGCCTCAAACACGCTTCCGGGAGGGTCTCCCATATTGTAGTAATCCACGTTGAGCACGTTGGGCGGGCGGCCCCAATCCGACCGACAGTTGTTTGCCGCCAATCCCAAACTTCCAAAGCCCTCCGCGCTGTTCGTCTCGTTGATCCGACTCAGGTCCGGCACACTGAGGACGTTTCCAAGCAGGTTAGCCTCCCCGTTCAGATTGTGGTTCATCAGATACAGCCTATTCTTGGCCTGGTCGGCCGGCAAGTCGGGCGGTCGCTGGACGACACATGGGAAGTTTCGGTCGACCGGATCGAACGGAGTCTCCCACATCTGGGTGAACTCGTCCAGAAGCCACGGATAGGCTGTCTGGTTGGCCATGTAGTCCATAAACATGACCACGCGCTGACCAGTCAGGATCATGTGTGACAGGGTCGGCCAGTCGTTGAGTGTCATGGGAATAACAGGCGGGGTGTAGATGTAGCGGAGGATGCCCGTCTTCTCGATATGGGGAACGTAGAAGTCGGGCGTTGAGTAGTTGCCGTTACCAAGCAAAATGGTTACGACGTCATAGGGGTGGGCCACGACCCAGTCCTTCACGGTGGTGAGCCATTCGGTGATGGGACCGGCATCAAAAAGATCGCATGTGGTGTGACAGAAGTGTGGCACGGTATCGTTTTTAGCCCACTGAATCTGGGCTTGGAGGAAACGGACGCCATCATTGAGCTGATCGACGACGCCGAGCTGTTGGTTCGCGGCAGCGGAATTCGCCCTGACAAAGGGACTGTTGTGGCAACCGACCTCGGTGATGTTGCTGTACTTGCGGTCGCAAAATTCGGGATAGTTATTGCACGGCCGTGTGTTCGTAGGTACGGGCTGCGCAGATTCTGTGCTCGACGCAGTCGCGTTGGAGGTCGACGTCGAGTGCGAGTTGGTGCCCGTCAGGTAGCTCAGCGTTGCGCTGGAAGTCTCGGAAGCCGATTCTGAAGAGAGCGCGGTATCGGTGGCGTTTTCCGAAACCGAAGCGAGGATGGATGATGCTGTGTCTGTAGTCGTCCCAAGCGTGATGCGTGTGGTGTAAGTTTGATATAGATTGGTTGGTATCGATGAGGTCGTGTGTTCAGCCTTTGTGCCCGTCAACATGGTCACCTCTTCGCCGTTGACTGTGGTTATGGCCTGGCCATGGGCGAGGCTAGTGCCCACGGAAAGCACGCCGAGCAGGCAGCCCAGACGCCGTGTAAGGGAAGTCATGGTGAACTGTGTGTCCACCCAAGCAAGCTGGCCTGAAGAGCTCTGGGTAAATATCCAAACAACACAAGTTGTAGGAGGGGAGGGGGGGACGGGAACCAGAAAGCTTCCACTTGTTCTAGGAGAGCATCAAATGCCGGACAGGGAGACGGAGAGATGGGTTAAGGTTTGGTTGGGGTTAACGAGAGGATAAGAACAGATGACGACTAGATAGAATCAACCAACAAGTTCATCAACCTCCCAGCCTTGAAGCTTCAAGTTGAATCGATGGATCATTGGCCCCAACTTCTGCCAGCTGAATATGAACAGGGAGCCAAGTGAAAGTGCTGGGACGGGCGCGTCTGGATCATGCTGTCACGGTAAGGTAGTGAAGGGCGCTTCATGTTCCGACCCCCTACGACCCCCGTCTGGAGGGAAAAAGGCAAGCTTGGCACGGTCCACACGTGGAGCCTCTAGCTGGACGCCGACTGAGCCAAGAAGCACTGCCGCATCACTACGGGGCTTCCATCTTCTCAGCAGCTACGACCCTGGCATCAGACGCTTGGTCATCGTCAAGGTTCTTTCTCAGAGTCGAAATCAAAAGACCTTGGCTCGAGCTTGGATCGAGCTTGGTTGAGGTAATCGGCAATTGGAATCTCACGATGCTGATAATGGTGTTTTGAGAGATGCCGTCCCAGCACAATGCAGTCTTGACAGCACGCAAGATGCCTTGGTGGTGCAGCTTGCATTTTTCTTCCCCTTTTTTCTTTTTTTGGTATGACGTCGCAGTTGCACAAGCCTCCTTCAATTCAACTCGTGGTGATAACGACATCGCTGCCAAGACAAAATACGATCGCCGCTTTCCCATCTTTGGGCACCAACCAAGAGCGTCTCTCAACCCCTCAGGGGTTTGTTTTTGGGGTGGGTGGTGTGCCCCTCGGACCTGAGTCTTGAATCAAGGGTATCATCTCCACATGGGCATTGCTCCAGAACTGACCTGGTTTGAAACATCAATAGAGGTGACAATACGATGGATCTGATGCCGTGAGACTCTGCTAGAACTACAACTGTTGACTTGGTTGAATGAGACAGTTCCTATTGTGTGTCTAGGTCTTGCCAAGATGAAGGCGCCTATTAGCCGCGAATAGAGACAAGCACTGCAAATGGACAAGTTGGATAAAATTGGCAAGCCTTAACCACAGCCGAATGAGACTCTCCAACGCCCGGGGTTTTACACGACCCAAATTCCTCGACCATCAGGAGTGCTTTGGTGGATTCTCTGTCCACTTTTGGGCAATGGACTGTGAATCGCCGCTCAAAGACGCCCGTTCGCCCGCTGAGCCCTTCCACTCTTGCTGACCGCCGACAATGAGAGAGAGGCACGCGAGCCAATTGCAACGCTGGGTGCGCAGAAACTGGCCAAGATTCCAAACACACTCCCTTTTCTGGATGCTGACTGATGCCGATAATCTTCTTCTATCCCTCGCTCCTTCTTCTGATATCAAGACAACGACATCCCGAATCCTGATTGTCGATTGATCATCAGCACAGACCCCCAACCACCCAACAATAATTCCCTGCCCAAGGGTTGTCTCCATCAGACGAGGTCCCAATAAACCAATCTGCCAAGCAGGTCGGTGGCTGTAGCGATCGTAACCTGAACAAGCCTGCTTTTTGATAACGACATCACCTCATCAATCTACTAACCAGTCGATCCCCCATCTTCTGCCGCGACTATCGTCTTTTTCTTTCCCCTGCGAAGACCGACCTTCAGACTTTTCGACCTGGTTTTGCAATTCCCGCCGGTGACCGGAGCCAAGCCCCGTCGTCATCACTCTCGCCAACTCCGGGACCCCTAGACCTCAAAAGTCCCCCAAACCACCACCCTCCACCACCAGCAACAAACAGCACTCTAGATAAGCTTGGGACAAAACTCTCTGAAAGAGCCGGCCTCTTCTCCTTAACCGAAGTTTGACGAGAAACAAGGTGTGACCTGCGCACCCAAAGTCAACATCATTACCCTTTAAAATCCTTGGGATCCGGAAACAGCACAAGATACAGGACAATGGGTCTAAAATCACTACTGAACCTCCGAAAGAGGAACAGCTTGGATGACCAACCCAAAGAACGATACTCACCCCAGCCACAAACACGAGACGCAAGCTACGAAAGGACACTTCAAGGAGAGGAAGGGGTACCCAGTGATGGACAGATCAAGCGAGCAACGAGGCTACGGCGATACTTCGCCTGGAGCGCATCCTTTGGGTATCTGGTGTCTTGGGTGTTCCTGATACTGGTATGTTAACTCGATATCACTAGCCACTCGTGTCACATGTAGCTGACCTGTAATACAGATTCTCATTGGCAACACATCCGACAAGCCCGTGCTTCGCAATGTTTACTTCTACAAGCTCAACCTGGCCGACATCATCCCGGAATCGGTACCAAATGCGCAGTTGATCAACAGTATCGCTCAAAGTATAGGTCTGCATGACTTTTACCAAGTTGGTCTGTGGAACTTTTGCGAGGGATATCAATCTGAGTTAGTCAACCTTTTTTCCCTTCCTATCCACAGACTTGTCATGCTAACACATCACAGAGGGATCACGTACTGCTCCGAGCCCGAAACGCTCTACTGGTTCAACCCGGTCAAGGTCATCATGAGCGAGCTTCTCTCCGGCGCCACCGTCGCAATCCCCACCGCCATCATCACCATCCTGTCGGTCCTGCGCATCACCTCGCAGATCATGTTCGGCTTCTTCCTAACCGCCTGCGTGCTCAACTTCGTCCTCATCTTCGTCTCGCCCATCCTGCCCGTCAAGTCGCGGTGGTGGTCCCTCCCACTCTCCCTTTTCTCGTTCGCCTCCATGATCCTGACCCTGGCCGCCTCGATCATCGGCACTGTCATCAGCTACGCCTTCAAGTACGCGGCCGAAGCGCAGTCGGACCTCAACATCCACGCCGATGTTGGCACGTACATGTTTGTCTTTATGTGGATCGCCACGGGCTTCACCATGTGGAGCTTCGCGGTGCACAGCGGTATGGGATGCTGCTGTGCGAGCAAGCGGGATCTCAAGAGCGGGAGGAGACTGATCAAGCCCGATGGGAGGATCATCCACGCCGGTTAGAGCTCGGAGTGGTTGAGTTCACCCGCAGGGTCGGTTGAGAAGGGGAAGGAAATGGATGGGTTGGGTTTTTGATCTTGACTTTTTACTTGCATGGCGTTGGAGGAGAATTTGAAAGGTCTGCTTTCTTTTTACACGGACGGCATCGTTTCTCAACGCCGATTCCGTCGATTGGTTGAAATACAACAAACAGGTCAGGTCAGATTCTTTAGCTGGCCGACCATGATGGCATTTGCACAGGAGTTCTTGGATATCCCCTATAAACCCGCCCTTTCAGGGAAGAGGGGACATGACATACAAATACAACATAGACAGACTGTTTGGGAATGGTACCTACGCAAAATACATACAACACGAACCTGTATGACACCGCGTGAAACACCACTCAAAGAAAGCATTTTTAGTCAATAGACTTATCGAGTATTACACACATCACTACACTTTTCTACCTTTCTCTTTCACGAAGGGAAAACTCAACTCGCTGATCAATTGTCCATTTCGCTTCTTCGCGTAGTATGGGCCAAGGACTCGCCTTATGGAGGAGGCCTGAACCGGCTAAAGAAGTTGAAATGAACACCAAATTACAAGTGACCGGGTAGGCCCTGTTGCCGAAAGACAAGCGGGAATAATACACGTCCTCGGTATGACGATGGCTCGGGAATGAATGAATGGTCCGACTTTGCCGGCGTCGGACATTGGGGGTCCCAAACTCCAGACGATAGCAATTGAGTGACTGTCTGGCATTCGGAACGGGTGAAAGCTCGAAAAGTCGAGAATGCAACACATTCTTTTTTCTTTTTTTTAGTCGATTTGCAATGTCCGGAGCTGCCATTGAATGATAGATACCTGATTGAGTTCAAAGTCAGAAGCGTTTAATCTCCGGTTCTTTAGTACTCTTCAATTCTCAATAAGCACTATAGTGAACAGCTGGGTAATATGAACCTGATTTTGGATAGTGTATTCCATTCGCGAAACTTCCGTCCAACACTACTACGCCTCCAATCTCTATAAAACTCCTCAACTTCTCTTCAGCATTTCTTGACAATCTCTTTAAAGCTTTGCTATCCCCCCTCTTATCACACGTCCCTTCATTCTTTTTCTCTTCACATTTGTTTCTTTTTTTCTTTTCTACCACAGCACCCTAGATTCCTTTCACAAATCAATATCGTTCTTTCTTTCATATGATTTTACCTCGTAGATGACGTATCCACTTGAGGACGCTAACCGGTCTTGTATTGACTAAATTCCGCGCTACGTACTCAACAATCGCTCTAACGATATGCAGGACAGCCTAGTTTGTAGTGGCTCGCCCGCTAGCAGACGGTCGGGTTTGAGGACCTGGCGAGTAAGTATGGCATCGTCGTAAATGTATATACAATATTTAGATCATTTTTGAAAGGAACATGTTTGGTCACTTAATAGTTACCCTTCTGATGGAAGACGGCACACGCAGTTAGCTTGACAGCTATCGTCGTGACTGCATTCATTTTGTGTGTTGCCACGTAGGATGTAGGGCTTGTCCGGTTCGGCTTGGTGATCTATGGCAACGGTTGGAGATTATGAATTGGTGAGGAGGTGATTGAGAAGCTGGGATATTCCTTAGGAAAGCGTCACAAAGTCAGGTTAAGCAACACGACAGCGAGCAAAGTTATAATCATCAATTCCCGAGGCATAGATTTCATAGCGGTATCTATCCTACTCTGGCCTCTGCAGCAAATTATGCTATTCAACTTATCTGCCAGTTTTCTTCCTCCACGATTTTGAATCCCAGTTCCTCCTTTTTTTTTGTTGAGTTTTCATGATCTTCATAAGTCATACAAAGTTGAGTAGCCAGTTTTGAACTTTCCAAGAACCATCCAGTTCAATTGCCACAAGATTGACAGAAATAAGTAGGCTTTGCTCCTCCGACGAAACCAGGAGAAGTGTCATCATTGACAAAGGTGAAATATTATATCCCGAAGCTGGACTTGAACCACCAACCAGTGGGGCCAAGTACTCCGAGGCTTGACGAATAAAGTTTGGTGTTGGTAAAACACGCAAAATACATCTCAAGAAAAAGTTTTCTTTATCGACTTCACAGGAACACACACACTTGCAAGCAAGCATGCGTGGAGTGAGGGGCCGCAGCATTAACCACAATAGTGGGAAAGCACTTGGGCAGAAGAAAAAGTGTCGAGTAAGCGACAAAATGTAATGATGAATGAGGTCTGTGCCTCGACGCGAACCCGAGGGACCAGCCGGTTGGGCTTGCGCGCAAGGGGACAGAAACCTTGACTTCAACATACTTCAGTCACTTGGAGAGCTGAGTCGCCTGACACTTTTTCTCGCTGCAGTCGCTATTCAACAACTGAAAGTGAGCGTGATCGGACCGTATTTATCTCTCATCGAATTCCGAGCGACGGGATGGCGAACTAGGCGCAAACATCGGAGTGCTGGAATCGAGACTGGGACGTCGATATGTCTTCTTGGTTGACCGGATTGGGAGTATGGGACAGTGGGTGGCAAATTAATGGCACTAACAAGGCCGGGCTGCACACAACACACAAACGTTCCTACTTGAGTTCCCTTCCAAAAGTCGTGGAGGATGGAGTCTTCTTTGAATTCCTCACCCGAGGCAGGGGCGAAGCCACTTAAGCACGGACGACGATGCCGTTGCGGCGAGAGCTGCGCTCAACGTAGTTATCCTCATCCTCAGAGGAGCAGGAGTCCTCATAGCCGCAGCGCGAGCCACCGCAGTCGAGACGGACACGCTCGCCCTTGCGGGTGATGCCGTAGCGCTCGCAGATGCAGCTGGAGCAGTCCGAAGCGGGAGTGGAGTAGCCGGAGAGAGAGGAGCTGGGGCTGGAGCTGTCGGAGCGGTAGCTGACGGAAGAGCCGGTGGAGGAGACGGGGGAGGAGCGCATGTCGAAGTCGGTGATGACGTCCTCATCGTACTCGTCGTAGATGCCGGCAGAGGCGAAGCGGGTGGAGAGCTCGTCGATGTTGTAGTCGGCATCGAGGATGTGACGGGTGGCGTGGGGAGACATGGGCTTGGGAGCCTTGATCTGGGAGATGGAGAGAGGGCGACCCTTGGGGATGTCGACGGAGAGGGACTCGCGCATGGAGGACTTGACGGAGTCGCGGGAGTGGCGAGAAGAGCTCTTGGAGGAGGAAGAAGACTTGGGAACGTCGAGGATGTTCAGAGAGCGGCCGGTGGTGGGCTCAACGGTGAACTCCTCGGAAGGGTTGTGGGAAACGTGGTAGCCATCGATGATGTAGTAGTACCAGTAGCGCTGGCCGGGCTGGACAAGAGCGGGCTGGAAGCGGAAGGTGCCCTTCCACGAGCCAGACTTGGAGGAGGTCTTGTCCTTGGAAAGGGGGAGCTGGCCGGCGTAGTTGTCCCAGGAACCAAGAAGATGGACGGTCTTGACGCCAGAAGAAACACGGAGAGAGAACGAAAGCTGAATGGCGGACATGTTGACTGATTAAGGGGTAATGCTGAAAACGAAACTGAAAACGAATCTTAAGAAGAATGTAAATTGGCGCGTAAGACGGCGAGTCGAGCAAGCAAAAACCAGTTAGTGCTTTATGGGGTATGTGAGTGTGAATTTGGGGGGGATAGCGAGACCAGCAAGCTACCGTGATTTGATTTTTTGGTGTATTAGTGAAAGTGAATTAATCGATAGAGCACAGCTCTACGATGGGGAAGGGGAAAGAAAGGGGGGGAGAGGGGAAAAACACAACTGGCTTTTGGAAGTTTGAGAACTTGCTGAAGAGAAAAAAAAAAAAGAAGAAAGAGAAATGGAAAGAGAGGGAGGAAACTGAACCTTATATCAACATATCACCAAGAGGGGTAACAACGGGTAGTCACCTAAGAATAGGTCCTGGTCCACAACGGCATGCATCGATCAACAAGAGGCCATGGCCGCCTTGCTAGTGACCATGGCTGGTCGGTGATATCCAATGTAGAGTGACGGCAAGAGAGGGGTTGCTACCTATCTGATCAAACCTAAGCCAGTCGGCTCTGTCGGTTCCCTAGTACAAGTGATGGCGCAAGTACCACGCATCTGGCCGCCTCCTACGCGAGGCCAATAACAAGACCGGGGCCCAGGAAGATGCTTCCAGGCAATGTGGGCATCAATCGATATCACGAAGCTGTGAGGTAACTGAACCCAGTGTGTCGAGGGTGTGCCCGTCCATGGCAAGGGAATGGTGCCTGTCACGTTCAACGTCCTTGTCGTTGAACTGGGTCCACCAATGCTACTATACTACTGACCAATGCAACTGCATGATGGGCGGTTAAGCAGCCCGAGGCGAGTGTCCACCCATGGCAGGCAGGCAGGAAGCCAGAACCGGAGAATTTGCTGCGTTGACGGTCCTTGACGGTCCTGCAAGGCGTGTTGACGATTGCACTTTCTAAAAAAGAAGTTGAAAAGAAGGAAGGAGGTGCAGTTTCTCGATGCAGCCAACCAGGCACTTCCTGTCCGCTGTGGGGACTCGAGTGATCACTTAGAGGACTTGGCCAATCTGAGTTTAGCGGATGAGATGGGCGTCTAAATCCCTGCCACAACTGGCCAATGGTCGCTTGTCGTGCGTCGTTTTCGCGCGATCCCCATCAGCTCCCATCACACTTAGACGGCAGCCGCTATCACCACCCACCTCGCTCGATGATGCTTATCCGTTCAGCCATCAATTGGCAGGAGCAGCCATCCCATTGAATCTCATATCTCGATATCGCCAATGCAATCTGTCAGGAATAGGAAGGAACGACCTGGTACAAATCAGCATCGTAGGTACAGAGAGAATGAACAAGGAACGCCCAAGTTGTAGAGGTAGATAGACGAGGGAGGTGGGGTCAGATATATACCTCTACGCAGTACCTTACGATCCTTTCGAACTTGATGATCTTGTTATGGCGAATGAAGCGCGCATTTGCGGTCATCATCGCACTAATGTAGGTCCCTCCATGTGTTTTTTTCTGTGTACCTTACTGCGTTCTGCAGTCTTTTATGCAATGCATGCACGCTCGCAGCACACAGCACGCTGCACCAAGCCATCTAGCATCGTCGATAGGACGACAGTTTTCTCACCTTACTCGGTCCGGCTGGCCGCGTCAATGGGCCATGCTACTCCATAGTATCCATGTCCGCCATGGTCTGTCCGACCTATACTTTTGACCGAGAAGAGGGGGGAAGCCGGGAGATGAGAGAAAAACCTTCGACTCCGCAGCACCACAAGTGGAGGACAAGCTCGTTTGTGTGCTCATGTGTGCCTTCGGGAGATAGGAAAGGAGCTTGTCTGTCCCGTTGTTTTCAGCCTACACGATGCCTCCATCACGTGTATTGACGAGGTCGAACAATCGGGCCTGTCATGATTCTTGCTAGCTACTAATGTTCTACTGCCAACCCAGGATGTCCGGAAAAGACGCAACCAACCGTGATCGAGGAAAAGGTGCGGTGCAAGCGACGCTTTTGCGCCGTTGCAACGTCCTGGCAGCAGAAGATGACCGAGGGATCCAGGCGATGAACAGGTTTCCCTTATCACGATCTCCTATAACCTTTTCCTGATCCCAGCCTCCTCATGCATCAAAGCATCTTGTAACACCTTACTCATCTTCACAGCCGGCATGGCTACTCTCAAAAGTCTTTGGTCATGACGTTGACCGGAGGGTTATTCTCAGGACCTGTTGTGATACCTCGTGGTTGCCTTATCTTATCCAGGTCTCACCGTCTCTCTGACGAGGGAAGGATGACGAAGTCTTTCAAGACAACTGTATCACATGTCTTCCGCTTCTCTCATCATCTTCCATTCCACACGCAAAACATCATGTACTATCAACCTCTCACAAGAATCGCAGAAGGCAGACTGTTATCTTGAACTGAACACCAGAATTTCATTGCAGTTATTACCATGTATCCAAAGAAATTCCTCTCTCTCTCTCTCTCTCTCTCTCTCTCTCTCTCTCTCTCTCTCTCTCTCTCTCTCTCTCTCTTCTCTTCTCTCTTCTCTCTTCTCTTCTCTCTCTCTCTCTCTCTCTCTCTCTCTCTCTCTCTCTCTCTCTCTCTCTCTCTCTCTCTCTCTCTCTCTCTCTCTCGCTTAACAACACAAATCCTCACAACCATAATCACGATTTCAGACCCCCCTTCAAATCCAACCCACATCAACCTACACCAAATACCCGCTAAAAAGCCTCATCTGTAACCAAACGATCAAGCACGCTGGCTGATATCCTAGTCTTCACGCGACCACGTGTGTGCTCCCTTATTTCCCATTGCTGGCATTGCCTGACTTCTGAGGAAAGAACTTGCTGAACCTATTAAAGTTTTCCGGCGTCACTTGAATGGTAATGTTTGGATTATACACATTCAAGTTCTTGATCATGCCGTTGCCGTTGCCGTTGCCATTCTTGCCCTTTACGTCGGCAGTACTACGGCTATCGCCCAATAAATGTCCCAAAGCCTGACTGTCGGTAGACTGGGTTTGCTTATCGGATCCGATTCCGGTCTGTCCGTTGCTGCTAAAGATGGAGAGTTGAGTTTCAGTGGTGTTTGGGTTTTGATTCTGTCCTTTAACACCACTGGGAGGACCGGCTGTGACATTGCAATACCCCTTGGAAGGTTTCTGGCAGGAACACCGTGGCTGTTGAGCACGTTCCTTTGCCCTGGAAGTTGAAGGTAAGGGGAGAGGAGGAGCGCTGAGGGCAAAACCATGAGATTGCTGAGAAGAAAAAGAAGGAGGACCGAAGAGAGAAGACATGGAAGACATGGAGAACGGGTCAGTCACCTGGGATTGACAGGCGGAGGACTGAGCCTCGTCATCATCGTCGTCGTCCTCGTCATCTTCCTCGTCCCACTCCTCAGTGTTGGAGTCATAGCCATTGTCGTAAATGTATCCAAAGCAAGAGTCGCAAGAGGATGTAGGGCAGGAGTCATGGGAGTACGAGTCGCTGTAGCTGCTTTCACGCTGGATGGGTGCTTTGAAGTTCGGAGGCTTGAGGGGAGGGAAAGTGCGTTTCGCTGTCTGCTTCGTCTTGTACATGGTGGTGGGATTGGTAAGTTGTGTTGCGTGAGTTGAATACTTTGGCTGGTGGTTTGGGTCCTTGAATGATGGGAATCTGTAGAGTAACGAGAGAGGAAGAGATGACAGATATAGTTATGGCCATTCTTATATCTATCGCTCCTGACCATCTGAGCCGGGACTGACTTCATCCAGAACCCAAAAGAACACCTTCAAACACGTATATGGAGTGTGTTCATTGTCCTGCATATCTCCGCGAACATCCAGGCAATGATGCTATGCACTTGTCTTTGTTTCAATAGTTATGCAGATGATGAAGTATTTTCTGAGTGATTTATGTGAGCAGAAAGGGATATCTCAGTCAGTTTACCTTTCAGTTGATGATATATCGTAAAATTCGCATGTAGTTATGTTTCACCCACACTGCTGCTAGACGGAACAGCAAGATAAAGGCTTTGTGCGAAACATAAACGAACACCATAAAGAAAGGGGGATATTGCGATAGAAGTCATCAGCCTCAGTTTCAATGAGCTACATCACCTCCATGCTGGATTAACTCTGGAACGGAACTGCTGGCACGTTGCGGTTTTGGATTGTATCTCACCAGGCAAGTGTCTAAGTACTTTCCTTATGTCGAACGAAGGATTGACCGATGTGAGCGGGTGGTGAAGCAAACCCTTTTAACTGTCTCTTTTCTGGCTGGCTACCTATGTTTCGGTGTTTGGGTACCTATATTACATAGCATTGGGCCTACCTTGAAGCATTTCAGATGATATAGGTAGGCAGTTGGCTTTTGACTGCCAAGTACGTACGATACTTAGGTGACTGGGTAAACACAAGATCGCACGAGGCAAGAAATGGAATATCAACTAGATTTGGAGGCAGATTAGAAGGCACAGCAAGATTATCTGGCACCAAATGTGATAAACTCTGAAATTCCAAGTGCAGCGTACATACTTGATGATGCGGGCGGCATTACTGTGCTTCCAGACGGCCCAGCTGGTCACATCGACATTGACACTAAGCCCGACGAGCCCTCGAATATCTTCTGTCGGCCAGTAGACCAACAGAGCTACTCTACAAACACACCAAGTATTATACACCATCGACTTTACAACCTCTCCGCCAAAATCCCAACAGATCCAATTGTTCCGTCCACATCAAGCTGTCCAACCTTCCAGAAAGACATCTGACATCTTTGGGTGATTTTTGCAAGTCCATTTTTTTTCTGCGCATCATGATCGGCCCTATTCTTTACCGAGTAAAGCATAGCCATCAAGATCGCAAGGCAGTGGCGCCGTGTTAGCCGTCCCTCCAAATCAGGGCCCAAAGAAACAGGAATCGAACCCGCCCAGCTCATACACAGCGGCACACCTCATTCTCAAAACACGCCTGGCGTGCTCCGAGAGAAACGTCGACGACGGAACCTCCAGTCGTCATCAGACCCAGGCGCCATCCGCAAAAACTTCAAAAAAGAATGACACCCCGGCCCCGGGCCAAGACACTTGGACACCGGATGTCGTCACGCCTACAGCATCGGCGGCTGACTCGTAAGCCAGCCGCCGATGCTGTAGACCTGATAACTATGTTCGCAATTCGATATGTAACGTTGTCTTTGGTCTCATCCATATGATCAACGCAGAATACAAGAATAACTGTTTCCAGCTTGAAATCTGCGTGTTGCATGTGAGCACCCTCGGCGACGGCCGATAATAGGAGTATGATCATGGCTGCGGAAAGACACTTTGCACATCAGCTAC